CAAACATGCTCAACCCTTGTTTGTTCCTGTGGCCCCCCTGTTTAGGTCTGCAGCTCTCCATCTCACTGTGCCACTCCACGGGAGAGAAGAAGAACCATCGGGCGTCTCCAGAGAAACCCAAACCAGACGACCACCTTTACGTACTGGAACACAACCTACACCAAATGATGAGAGAGGTGAAACACTGCGTGAAGTCAATCTGAAGCTCATCTGAAGCTATTGTCTTTACTGGTATCAGAATATGTGTCAGCCGATAAAAGACAAGAAATTGAAACTGTTTGATAAGTTTGACTCTTTATATATATTATATAAATAACACAACTAGTAAATCTATAACAAAGTTTTTCTTTCTAGTGCTGCTCAGTCTGAAGACCTCTGGCTACACATTTGAACCGGGACAAATACTGCCCCAAATATATTTAGAAAACTACAATCAGTACTTTAATTTGATCAAGTCTCATTTCATTGAACAAACCTGTCTCTGTTACAGTTCCACAAGCAGCAGCTGAGCTCTGTGGTGATGCCACATCCTGCTAGCGCCCCCTTTGGCCACAAACGCCAGCGCCTCGCCGGGCCCATGGCCTACGATAAAGCTGAAATCTCCAGCTTGCAGCATAACGAGGGCCTGCTGGAGAAGATCATCAAACAGGCCAAACACATCTTCCTACGTAGCAGGTATATGTAGTTGTATGCTTTTATTATAGGGCTGATATGATCACAAAACAATCAAGAAATTGTATCGCAACATTTTTACAGTGATAAATATTCAACTATGAATTACCACTGGAAAACATTGTGTAAATCCAGGTGGAAGTTTGTTATGTCTTTTTATGTTTGTGTAATATTTCCTCCCAAACATGCTCCTCGCTATTTGCAAAGCCACATTTGGCCTAAAGGTGGCTTACTTTATCTTTGTTGACATTTTTATTTAAGCGATATTGAATATATAATTCTGAGTGAAGCCCTGAACTCTGTATCATTTTAGCCCGTTTTAATGTTTCCATGTGTAATCACCAGGACGGCACGGACCATCGACAGCCTGGCCAGCCGCATAGAAGACCCCCAGATTCAGGCTCACTGGTCCAATATCAACGATGTGTACGAGTCCAGCGTCAAGGTGCTAATCACCTCTCAGGGCTACGAGCAGATCTGCAAGTAAGTCGAGGAAAGAAAAGAGGGAAGGATAAAGGAAGAATCAGAGCAGCAATATGGGAGATACAGAGGAGGACCTGTGACTGTATTTATGATTATTTGAATAACTTTCTACGTGATTTAAATTCAAAGCAAATTAAATTGAATGTAATCAGAGGCATGTTATTGTAGTTTTTCTTTATTTCCATTATAAAAGTAGAAACCGCACTGTCAGAGTCTTACATGGCATAAAATCCCATGAGTTTGCTGCTTTTATGAGATGTATGTATGCAAGAATATGTTTATTCCCTTATTCTGTATTTCATTAGAAGCACATGGTTGACACGTATGGCCCCTCTCAGATAAGGCTTACCATGTTTTGTGTGTTTAGGTCCATTCAGCTGCAGCTGAACATCGGTGTCGAGCAAATCCGAGTGGTGCACAGAGACGGGCGTGTTGTCACACTGTCACACCAGGAACAGGAACTGCAGGACTTCCTCCTCTCACAGGTATCACTCTACCCTTCCTGCACAGTGAACTTTCCCACAGGTGGTGGAGGAGGCTGTATTTACTGGAAGCAATATGTATGAACTCATGTGTTCCATATTGAGCTCAAACAGTGTGGTGTAGATGATTTGATTAACTGTTGCCAGACACATCCAGGCAAGACAAAACATATCACTGTAGTGCTCAAAGGAGAAAGGATTGCAGACTGTTGGAGAAAAACAGAAGATGGCGATCACAGTACTCCAACGTATTAAATAAAATGTTAATATGACAACTACCTGAAAATACATCGTGGGCATGTAATGAAAAAATGAGTTATTAATTCATTTTCAGACAGATTCTACTGAGGATTAAATACAAATGTGAACAGGCAGGAAAAAAGTCTATAGGCTGTGTGTGTTGCCAGCTACTAGTTACACTCCTGCTCTTTCTTTGTGTCCATGTTGTGTTATTACAGATGTCACAGCATCAAGTACATGCAGTTCAGCAGCTGGCCAAAGTGATGGGCTGGCATGTCCTAAGCTTCAGTAACCATGTAGGCCTGGGCCCAGTGGAGAGCATTGGAAATGCCTCCGCTGTCACTGTTGCCTCTCCCAATGGAGAGTACGCCATCTCAGGTGAGTCGAGTGAGGTTGGTTCTGAGGTGAAAGTGCTCATTCAGCCCTTCTGTTTTGTGTTTAAGTGCTGCTACATTTGTGTAAACAGACAATCAAACAGAATTAATGGATCAACTTTCCCTTTTTCCCCTGACTAAATGTAGCAGCACTGTTCTCCCCGTTGCTGTCACTCTTTGTAGTAACATGTGTAAGGCTGAAGGCAGCGAGGCCCCACCCAGCCTCTAGTGGTTGTGGAGAGTGTGTTGAGAGTGGGGGAACAAGAGACAGGTTGATACAAGCTGATGGATCATTAACAAAACAAATCACACTACCTCACCACCATAACTCCTGGAATGTGTCTGTGTGTGTATCTATTTGTCTGATCAGTGCGTAATGGTCCAGAGAGTGGGTGCAAAGTTTTGGTCCAGTTCCCACGCAGCCAGACCAAAGAGCTGCCGAAGAGCGACGTCATCCAGGAGGCCAAGTGGAGTCACCTCAGGGGGCCGTGCAAAGAGGTCCACTGGAGCAAGATGGAGGGACGAAACTTTGTGTACAAGATGGAGCTCCTCATGGCCGCGCTGACTCCCTGTCCTTAGATCCAGCCTCTCGTACACAAAGCCAGGGTTTATAGATACAACCAACCACTCCCACATAGGATCTACATTGTGTAGAGATTATCAGCCACGACATCTTCTCTTCCTCAACTCTTCCCTTTCCTTCATGTACACTTCTTTTTTTTTTTTTTTTTTTTACACACCTTATGGACTCCTTTCCACCTCCACTAGTGTCTGCTGCCTGCTTTGTTTTTGTCAATACAAGAGGTGGATTGTATATTACGTATATACCTCAAACAATTTGATACAGAATAAAAGCAAGTTTGTGTAATTGTGCTGATTTATAACATCATAAGAATAAAGTTTTGAATTACATGTTTTCTAACAACTTCTGGTAAACACTTTGATGTATTTTTATTTTGAGGAATGTGATTCTGTAGTCTCGCTTTTTCCTTATCACAGTATTTTGGAAAAATTGATTTTCTTCTTAGACTGATCAGTTTGAAGAAAGAACCACGTGTGAGGTTTTAGTATTACCGTCAGTCATATGGAGTACATTACACATAACTATGAAAATGAGTATGTAACTGTCTTCTTTCTTTGTTTAGGTTTTTTCTTTGTTTAAAGCTCTGAAGACCTGACAAGTAGTCATATAATTGTCTATCATCATTGCATCTAAAAGTCTGATACAGACTACACCTGCTGTATTTTTTTTAAACACCTGCTTCAAGTTTAGAAAATTAGTCTGTTAAGAAGCCATAAGTAAAAGACACAATTCATTTGCTTAGACAATAAATACAGTATGTATTGTTTTCCAGTGTCATAAGTGATATATTTACATTAAATGTGTCATCATGTGAGCTGTAAATGCAAATGTATTCAATACAAAATGTAAACATAGGACAGATTGTCTCAGTACACAGTTTTTCACAATTGACAAGCCATCTTCCTAGACTGAAACAAATAATTATTTTATGTACACAACATCTATATTTAAAAAAAGTAGTCCTTGTTGCAGCACTGACAAGTTTAGTGAGTAGTCTCAGGTGTGTTGTCATGCTTGGCACGAAGCACCGCCATCCGAAGACGTCCATCAAAGGGACTGCAGCTCGGTTGCATCATTTTCTGCATAAAGGGGCAATTAAACTTTGTCAATACAGAAACTAACATTAACACAACATGCTGCTGTAACAGAGCTGTAACAGAGCTTTGCAGACCTTTGTACTCAAACACACCCATGCTCAGACACAATGCGTAACTTTAACCCACATTCCCGCCCATCAAGCCCTATTTATACATTTCACACAATGATACAGTAGTAAGAAAGAAAACTGAATAAACTATGAACAAGGCAAACAAACCTCACATACATTCATTTGAGAGGTATAATATCCACCCAGTCATAATCTAGAAAAACTTTACCACAAAGGTACTATTATATTAACATTGTGAGAGCTTGATCCTTAATGCAAAATCCTGATGGGGTTTCATACATAAAACTGCATGTATTGCTTTACCTGGCATCTGTTTCCTGCGTCTACATGCCACTATCTTCCTGTAGGCCTTGTCTAGTAGCCACATGGCCAGCATGAGAAGACCAGCCAAACAGGCCAGTAGTAAGGCAGAGACAGACAGGTACTGAAGATCCTCATACAGCACCTCTGGAGGACAGGGACACAGAAGCACAATCAATATTTACTTCTAAAAAAAACACCTTGGAAACATGTTAGGAATGCAGCTTGTATGCAGAGGTGAGGTAGTACAGGAGCATGTTTCAGTGTTAAGAATGGTAGGAAATAATAACATGATTCTTGTGTCGAGGTCACAAAGAACTAAATCTTAAGGGATATATAACCATTTCACATATCATCCTTTTAACACTAAAATCCTTTATCGTGCTATAATGTTGATCAAAGGTCGATACAAACGTGGGTTGTTTACTGATGAATAACTATGATAAACTCAGTTCCTGTTTTAAGATAAAAGAAGGGACACATACAGTAGTCACCACCTTCACAGACTGGAGAGATACATCATAAATGTTTCCATAAAATGTGGAAAGTTTACAGTTTTGTTTTTTACCTCAGGGGAGTTTCACTGAACCTGACCACACTCACACTGTGAGTGCCAAATACAACCACAGTCGGACCTGCTGGCCATTGACCAGCAGTTGGGGTTAAGGGCCTTGCTCACCACAGTGGTGGTGGTCACGTTGGGGGGGGGCACTTTTTCACTTTCCTGTCCAGGTCGATCTTGCTGATCCAGGGGATCAAACCTGCTTCTAATATCCACAGACAAGCTTGGGGTACCTGGGCAGGGCAACTGTCATTCTTATACCCCACCAACTATTACCACAGTGCTGTTGAGCAGGTTCAGACTGCCTAAGTAGAGCTTAAGGCTGTGGCTCCATTTCATGCTTGAATTATGACCATCAATGCTTTCCAATCACGTCACCAGCTGTATTTTGTTTCACATCCTGTTCAAGAATTGATCTGTCTTTTCTGATTTCTGATTTGCTGTTGCTTATAATAGGCAGAAGGTATAAGATGAAAGTATAAAAGCAAGCTCTGCTAATTGTCTTCAACCTGTGACTACGCCGTTGGTGCAAAAGAAAAATGTGGTTGTTTTCCTGAATGTAGAACTGTTATCTTATTTGCTTTAGAATGACACATACAGAAGCACAGAGCCACTTACCGTTCACTTTCAGGACAAGGCCAGTGTCCTTGCTGCTTCCCGTAGTTTCTGTGACAGTGACGACGTAGTATCCAGCGTCCTGCAGCCGCAGATCTGACAGGTACATAGAGCCATTGTTGTAGGCCTGCACTCTGCTGCTGTAATCCACAGTTATGTTGGTATACACCCCCGGCTGCCAAGTCCCTATGCTGCGGCTCACCGCTCCCGACATAAAGGTCCATTGTATGGTAGGGATCCCAACACAAGTAACATTCACTGAGAAAAACACGTCCTCCTGCACTGACCTGGTGAGGCTCCTCTGGGGAGAATGGACGGAGATGGCTCCAGCTGTATAAAGAATGAAGAGATGTGAAGATATAGATTACACATTCAATGGGAAATCTAGTTAGGAGAAGAGAAAGATACAGTTGATAATGGTTGCCCTCAGGTGGCATTCAAATATTGCACACTAGAAACAATTTCACCTTTCATACTTTTACAGTTCAACCTTCATTTAAGTAGGACAGTGTGTGACACAGTACAGCTCCATAAAAAGAAATGTTTTACCTCATAGGTTTTGCATTTCATAACACTGTGACTCATTTGCATTAAATTCAGTGTCCTGCCAGAAATGTGATATCCTGTGCTCGCTGGAGGTATGAAACGTGTCAAACAAGCTGAGAAGTACCAATTTGAATGGAGCCAGAAGTCCTGGCCTAGTGACTGTTTCGGCCTTCATCAAATATTTTCTCAGGAGTTTCAGAGTGGGATCTGGTTCTGCTGGTGGTGTGTTTGCTTAATGAGGCACAGGTAAAGAATTCCACTGAAGAATACCAATGCCTGTCCTTTGCTCTTTGAGCCTTATTACTTCATGGCCCATCACAGGTCTAATGTTTCTTTAAGAAAGTTTATTTGCTTCATTAATTTTAGCAAAGAAGTGACGTGGTGTTGTTATTTTGTCCACCAGACTTTTCTTTTTCAATGCAATCAGTTACAACTATTTCCTAATCTCTTTGGGTTAAAATGTTTCTCTGTTGAACTGGTGTTGCAGACCAGGACCATCTGATGTTTACATGTACACAACCATGTGTACACAACTGTCTTGATCTACTTAGCCCTGCTATGCAAGTTACTGTGAGCTCTCACTCCTGCCAGGCTCTCAGTTTAAGTTCCTATGTTAGGGGTTGGACCCTCATCTTGTGTATTTAATCCTGAACAAATACAGAATTGCCATACAGGCATTCAGTCCAATGCAATAGACAAATACATGAGTTCTCTGCAGAACAATTATAAACGTGTTGGAATGCTTACCTAGGTGACACATATATAATGTGATGCTGAGAAACACAGCAACATCTTGAATATCCCAGAGCCTAAAATGCCACATTAGAATCCCAGACCCATTGGTCGAACCGCAGTAGAAGAATCTCCTCCGGGTTGTTTCACATTCTGAAGTATTCTCCACTTTGTTGTCTTTCTCCTCCCAGAACAGCCTTTCCTGGTTCCCAGGGTTTCCTCCACCACAGTCCTTTCCACAGGTGTATGTGTTTTCTTTTCTTATTTCTGAGAGAAATCAGAGTGTCTGCCACAGAAGTGCCAGAGTTTCCCTCCTCTCTCAAGACTGAGCTGTGCTGCGTTTCTCTTCATACCTGTGCAAGTCAGTGCCAGCCAGCACACCTATCAGACAGGTTGAGCCAGAGATTACTGAGCAAACACGTACTCAGCGTTCTGTGATGTCACACACACACACACCCACACCCACACCCACACATTCGAAGGAAGAAAGCTATAGAACAAACACACAGGCTATAGCCTTCTCAATGTACTCCCCCCACACAACGCAGACGCACAAAATGAAACCAGGATAGGTTGAATCATCTGGCATTCAATGCTCTGACACACCTGGTAAAACATGTCAGGCAGGAAGTGTGTATTCACTCATATGCACCAAGAAACACAAACACACAGTGGACATGATAACAGTGAACTCACATTTCAGTTAAAGGATGTATTCGCTGTTTGATTCTGTGCTTGTGTGTTATGACTGGACTCGCCCTGGCAATATTTCTGATTTATTTTTAAAATGACTTCAATCAATATCATCATATTCATATTAACATCTTAAAATTGTTTATATGTCGAATATATATATATATATATATATATATATATATATATATATATATATATATCGGTAGTAATGAAATAAAGTCACCAATGTAGCGCAGACTGTAAAATGCTGTCTGAATTAGGTATGCAGTATGTAATCAATCTTCTTCTGTGGCTTGTGAGTGATGAAACAATAGAAAATAAGCCTGTTCCTTAAATGAGATGTGACCAAAAACCACAAATACTGTTATTGTTGAATGTATTTAAACATTATTATTTTTCTTTACACATTACACAAACTTATATTTCTTTGCCAAATGTTGAACTTTTAAATAAAGATGTGCGCTGGCTATCTTCTGCTGTTACACATTTTAAGGTAATGAATTAAAGTCTGAATTTTCTAAAAAAAATAAATAAATAGAAAAAAGAAAAGAAATGCAATTGATTTGGACCAAAGATTGAAGGCGAAAGGTTACATAAATGTTTTCACAAGGAGTAAATTGTCTTTTTGTTTTGTTTGTGTAATTTTAAACTGACATCCAGGTAGCTAAACCAACCAGATTATTGGGTTCAATCTTCTGAGGATGCAGTCCATGAATTTAGACACAGCTTTAGTGTACTTAAATACAATATATATATATATAGTTTTTAGCAGGGATAAAAACCCAATTAACACCTAATTAACACCTGCTTAACACAGTGTAAAGATTTCTACAACTCACTGAGCTATTTCCTATAATTAAAATGTGTTTGACGAATTCACAAACTCCATGAATGTGCTTAAATGAAGGAACTATAATGACCCACCTTGCACCTGCTGAGCCAGTTTGAACCACAGACTGTATTCAGCTGAGCCTTGACCCTCTCTAGACAGCTTCTTCACCTACTAAAAACTATGTAAAGTTTGCACTGATAACACCTGGGCACTAGGTGTCCCTCTTTCTTCTGGTTTTGTGTTGCAGGGGGTTTGGAGGATCATCAGCTGCGTTAGCTGCATCTGTACCTGGTTTGCTCTTCTCTTAAATCCCTC